TTCCTTCAAGAGAAAACACATCATTTTATAAACTGGGAAATGCTTGAAGATGAAGCTTTTCTCTGAATTCATGAACTAAATTCATGAGCTGAACTCAATCTAACATACATTACTGTAAAACAGTTAGATCTAAAGAAAAAAAGTAGGTCTAAATAAGTATTTTTATTTTAAATAAGTGCATTTGTTCTTAAATTGAGGGCTTAAGTGAGAAACTTTGCCAAAGGAACAAGACAATTTACATTGAAAATAAGAAAAAAAAAAAAAGAAAATAAGAAAAAAACTATTGTATATCTTATTGCTTATTTGCCGATCAAGAACAAAAGATTGTCCCTACTGTGAAACATGGGGATGGCCCTGTTATGCTCTGGGCTGCTCAATTAAGGGTAAATACACTTCATTAAAATTTTCTTTTAATTATTTCTAGATCATATTTGCTGTGAAGTTGAAGGCTTATGCTAAGATCTCCAATTCCGATTTTTTTTTGTGAAATACGATTTTTTTTTTGCGTAGCCATTCTCATTTTCAAATATATGCGACTTGTATGAGATCTCCTGTGTAATCTGCATTCATACGATGCAAGTGTCCCAAATGTGCAGTAGACGACGCAATTGTTTTTCTTCCCACTTCCGCAGTATAGTGACTTTTGTCGGGTATTAATGTCGTCCAGGTCGGATGAATGCGACCTGGCCATTCAGACGCACGTCACATTTGAAAACATCGGACATTCATCGGATTCAGGACCACAGAGCCAAGTGGCCTGGGTCGCATTGGGAAAAATCGGATCTGTGTTGTTCAGACAGCCATGAAGAGATTGGATACAGGTTGCATGGTTTTGCTAACTCTGAAGGTTTACCTAATCAAAGCAGTCTAAACCCGGTTCAGTTTCCATGTTTACATCAGACTAGGTTGGTCTTTGGCTGGTCTTTGGCTGGTGCTAAGCTGGCCCTTGGCTGGTCCTTGATTGGTCCTTGGCTGGCTTCTTGACAGGTCCTTGGTTGATATTCAGCTGGCCCTTGGCTGGTCCTTGGCCGGCTTTGGCTGGCCCTTGGTTGGTCCTTAGTTGGTCCTTAGCAGGTCCTNCAGGTCCTTGGTTGATATTCAGCTGGCCCTTGGCTGGTCCTTGGCCGGCTTTGGCTGGCCCTTGGTTGGTCCTTAGTTGGTCCTTAGCAGGTCCTTGGTTGATATTCAGCTGGCCCTTGGCTGGTCCTTGGCCGGCTTTGGCTGGCCCTTGGTTGGTCCTTAGTTAGTCCTTAGCAGGTCCTTGGTTGGTGTTCAGCTGGCCCTTGGCTAGTCCTTGGTTGGTCACTGGCTGGTCCTTGGCTGGTCCTTGGCCGGCTTTGGCTGGCCCTTTGTTGGTCCTTAGTTGGTCCTTAGCAGGTCCTTGGTTGGTGTTCAGCTGGCCCTCGGCTGATCCTTAGCTGGCCCTTAGTTGGTGCTCAGCTGGCCCTTGGCTGGTCCTTGGCTGGTTCTTGGCTGGTCCTTGGCTGGCCCTTAGCCGGTCCTTGGTTGGTCCTTGGTTGGTCCTTGGCTGGTTCTTGGCCGGTCCTTAGCTGGTCCTCTTCAATTCCTTTTTAAAACATCAATATTTGTACTAAAATATTGTTTCTGTCATGGTTTGTGGACATTAAGATCTAAAGAGCAGCGCCATCTCCTGGTCAGACCCTGTAATTCAGTGAAAGGGTGGAGTCAGTGTAAAAAAATATTCAGGATAGTGGCTGGAAGTTGGAGGGAATTTTGCTGGCATTGGGCTTTTGACTGAAAAGGACCATTTTGAATGACTGCTACTGTAGCTGCTTGATTAACATTAATCGTGAAAGATGTTTTTCACTGCTAACTTCATCTTCCATCAAATTAAAGAAGACAGACTGCTTTCAGGCCTGTATTTATTACATAACTGAATTTGAATTTGTGCCCACTGTTTTGTACAGGAGGAAAAAGAGAGCCCCAACGACTCGTCGACTGCGTTTATCCCTCCAGCC